GCACCTCCTCCCCACCCCCTGCCCTGCCCCACACGCGCCCTCTGCCCTGCCTCCTGCCCCGCCGTGACCCCTGCCCCGCCTCCTGCCCCACAGCGCCCTCTGCCCCACCCCCTGTCCCACAGCAACCCCTGCCTCACAGCCCCCTGCCCTGCCCCACAGAGCCCCGTGCCCTGCACCCTGCCCCACAGCACCGCCTCCCCCACCCCCTGCCCTGCCCCACAGCGCCCTCTGCCCTGCCTCCTGCCCCGCCGTGACCCCTGCCTCACAGCCCCCTGCCCTGCCCCACAGAGCCCCCTGCCCTGCACCCTGCACCACAGCACCTCCTCCCCGACCCCCTGCCCTGCCCCACAGCGCCCTCTACCCCACCCGCTGCTGAACCCTCCATCCTGCTCTTTGCCCCATGGCGCCCCCTAGCGCCCACCTGGGGTACAGGAGGGTCACGGTGAAGCACTCTGCCAGGCAGAGCCATTTGGTGGTTATGGTGACGCTGCCCAGGGTTACTATGGTGACAGGCGCTAGGAGACCCTCCATGGCTTCCAGAGAGAAGATGACCCCTGCAAAAGGGGGGGGGACGGATCGGATAGGTAAAGCAGGACGCCTGGGTTCTCTCCCCGGCTCTGGGAGTGGGGGCTGGTGGGTTAGAGCGGGGGAGGGGGGGGCTGGGAGCCAGGACTCCTGGGTCCCATCCCAGCTGGGCCTAGGCTCCCTACCTGAGAAGCCCACGGCGCAGTGTTCCCGGCGCCAGGGATCTCGCAGGACGGCCGCCAGCCCCGCGTTCAGCCCGAGATGGACCAGCCCCCCCAGCAGCGTCATGCCCCCCAGGATCCAGCCCGCTCGGGCGCTGCCCACCCTCCCCTCCAGCCCTGCCCCCAGCCACAGCAATGCCCCCATGTTCAGCCCCAGGTGGCCCCAGCCCAGGTGGTGGAAGGGAGCTAGCAGGAGGCGCTGCCACTCGCCCAGAGCCCAGACCCCCTGCACGCTGAGGCAGGTGTTTTCGGGGGACCCCAGGGGGCGAAGGTAGAGCCCCACATTCAGGGCCACTAGGAGGAGGGTGGCGAGGGGCGGCCTGGCTGCAGACATGCCCTCTGGGGGGCTGCCAGGCTGGAGGGTGTAAGGGGGGTCCTTGGGGCTGGGGGGAGCAGGAAAGTAGCATTGGGGGCAGTGCTGGGGGGCAGAGAGAGGCTCACCAGTGGGGGGGGGCAGTGGTGCCAGGGCAGAGCCCTTGTGAGGTCACCGCTGATGTCTGGGGGGGGGTCAGGGGATTGTGGGAAGGGGAGGGGGCGGCTCCGGGAATACGTCGCCCCGAATTGTTTATCTCGCTGGGAGCTAAGAATAAACCTCATTCTGGGAAACCGGCGTCAAGACCTGCCGTGAACCCGGAGAGCCGGGGCCGGGCGGGACTCGGGGCTGGGCTAGCAGGGATTCCAGGTCGGGAGTGAGGGGCACCGGCAGAGCTGGGGGGGGGCAGGGCTGGGCTAGCAGGGGCTGCGGGTCGGGAGTGAGGGGCACCGACAGGGCTGGGCTAGCAGGGGCTGCGGGTCGGGAGTGAGGGGCGCCGGCAGAGCAGAGCTGGGGACGGGCAGGGCTGGGCTGGCAGGGGCTGCAGGTCAGGAGTGAGGGGCACCACAGAGCTGGGGGGGGCAGGTCTGGGCTAGCAGGGGCTGTGGTCAGGAGTGAGGGGCTCCACAGAGCTGGGGGGGGCAGGTCTGGGCTAGCAGGGGCTGTGGTCAGG